AAGGGAAAATAATGTCACACCAGCATTTCTCCTACAAAAGGCCTTTTGTGTCCTACAGCCACAGTGTTACCATGACCAATACGTCATTATAAATAATGAAACTTTCACCATTATTTTTAAAATCGATTCGTAGAGCGACACTAAGTAACCCACTAGTGGGACTGCAGAGCTGCTGCTGAAGAGTTTTACAGGGCAGAGCTGAAGAAGTGTTTGTTTATTTTTACCAGTGTTGCAACTTCTTCTCTCAAGTTAATCCAGTGCGGACTGAGAGCTCCTCACAATTAAAAAACTGTTTCAGTGTAAACCGGTAGCCAAAACCCTTCAGTGTGTGATTAAATTCAATAATAGCGTTGTATAAAAGCAACATCTTTATCATATAATTTGATGTTAACCACCATCTTTATTTGGTTTCAGGAGCAACCTTACGTTGTCCTCAGACGAGAAAGGATGGAGGAACTCATTTGTAGTTCATTATTTGTAATGAGAGGGGACAGTGTGATTACATTTAATTGTTCACAGCAGGTTGTGATGTGATATTTAAAAAAAAAGGATCTGTACAACAGCTTATAATAAAAGCTGCCAATCAGTTTGTTGGTTGCAAATTTTGGCAGCAAAGTAACCATATTTTAATTGTGTGTAATTGGAGTAATATTGTGTCTGTGTAATTATGCCCGGTATTTTATGAATTCGAAGCACAAGCGAGAATGGTTTGACATATTTTAAACAATTCGTCAGTGTAGCATTGTCTTGCACTATGATGCTGTTTGCCGTGTGGTGAACACTGATTAGTTGTTTCAGCTTAGCCCGGTTTGTCATGTTAATTTTCCAAAGTGTGTGTTTTTAAGCTCCTTTGACTTCTCCTACTTTGCCTCCTGACTGTTGACGACATTTTTGCCCACGTTTGCCCCTCTTGCGTTTGGGCTGAGCTGTCCCTCGGTGGTAGCGACTCTCCTTTGGAGTCCCATTCTGAACCGTACTGTGTAGAATACCAGCTGGTCGTATCTGAGTGACTTCCTCCCAGAACTCAGATTAGTAAAGGTCGGTGATAATGAGGCTCGAGTCAAAACACAACCAGTACCGGCTTGGATTAACATCACGGCTTTGTGTGTGTGTGCTCATATGCACATGCTTGTGTTTCCAGTGTGGCAGTAAATGGCTCTCAGCTGTAAACATCTCGTCGTGTGTGTGTGTGTGTGTGTGTGTGTGTGTGTGTGTGTGTGTGTGTGAGAATTTTTGGGCCTGATATAAACACTACTACTAATGGTCTCTCTACACGATGAAGTCTGACAGGCCTCACACGGTAGCCGGTGAACTCTGGTTGAATGATGGTTGTGGTTGAAACAAATGTGGCACGGAAATGGGAAATAAATCAAAAACATCTGAGCTGAAAAAAGTATGTAAACAGTCAATTCTCTAAACTGTAAAATTAGAATCACATCAGATGAAAGACTTGTTTTCTTGTCATTTTTAAATAAGCGTATTTACAAAGAAGGCAGCTGATTTATGTGTTGGCCAGGAATGTTTTGTAGATTATAATCTTTTATTTTTATTATTAAACATGTAACCAGCTCTAAACTATGTACTGGAATGATAAACTAGCAAAGGTGTTTAACAAATACAATCCTTAAACACGTGTATCAGTTTAATTGGCAGGTTAATAATTGAGGTGCCGCTGCACACGGCCAAACATCTTTACTTCTTTTGCGCAGCTTTGCTCACTGCCCCCCCCCCCCCTTCCGATTTGAAGTGGTCATGTGATTGTTGACATGTATGTATCTTGGGCTCCAATGAACATCCTCTACTCCTTTTCTACACTGTGCAGTCTCAAGTCACACACACCATGAGAGAGTAATGTGAGAACAAAACAATGATGTCTCTTATTGTCCTCCAACACATCTATATTTATAGCTGAGGGGAGAGCTGGATATGCTGTGAGGGGGGGCTTTGCCTTGCTTGCAGCTGCCCAAAAATACAGGAAGAATCAGAAGACGGAAATAGTCTGACATGAAAGAGGATAGGAGAGAAGGAAGACCACAGGGTTGAAGAAGGAAAGAAGTCTGAGGAAAACGCTTGAATTTATTTCAACTTTACTTTGTCCGATGGTCCCTGTACACGACTACATATAAAGTTAGGCCTGCTGACTGGTTGGATGCGTGGAGGATCGGTTTAAGCTCAAGTTAACAGAAGACTTCTTCTCACCTTCATGTCAGTAGTACAGTAACACTGAGTTGGTACAGACTGGCCCATTTCAAATGATACATCTACGGTTGGCCTGATTTTAACTCCTCTTATTAATCAGGCTGTATACAGCTTAATAATACATCATAGTTTAATCGTTTATTTATATTCTGTGTTCAGAATATAACTCTGCAAAGTTGCCTAACTAGTAGCTAATGTTGTAAAATACATTTGCCTCCCAAATATCAGCACAAACCCAAAACACAGAGTGGTTCAGATGTTTTTAGGCCTTTACATGCTGACGGCTTCACCTGTCGGTCAGCCAGCTAGAAACCAGTTCACTCTGAGAAATCAGGTTCGACAGGAAGTCAGACATATTTACATGCAGAGCAGGAAGTCACTTTTCAACACCGGCGTCTCCAAGTGTATCAAAGCATTTGTCCAGCAGTGGAAACGGACTTCTTTTAGACTTCTGGAGGCTACTTTGTGTCAGATTCACTTTGGTGGGACTATAACTTAAAAAGGTTTTGAAAATAAGGACGCATAGCTACACGTCATGACCTTTTATCCACAAGCTCTTTCCTTTCAGACTTTCCCTGTTTCAAGTCTTGGTCACGCACATATGTACACATTCATTTATGTAATGCACTGACACGTGTCGACACGTGTGCAGTCTTGGTGTCACATTCTCTCGGTATACTATATATATTTAAATACTTTATTTAAACTTTTGTATTCGGGCTTTTCATGTGTAAATTGCGTTACTTGCATATCTTCTCCCACACCGTTTCAATTCCATCAAAACAAACCAAATAGGATATCTTATCACCTCCAAGAGTTCGGCTCTGTGTGGTCCGATTGGGTCTCATTGTCTTGAAAAGTGTCCACATCTGACATATTGTTCCTTTCCCACTCGCCCACATGATCCAAAAATACAAATGATTAGCTTCCCCCTCACGTGGGGCCACATAAGGACCTTCCCGTGTCCTCCGGGTTTGATGTACAGTAACTGTCATTTGTTTTTAATCCCAGGTCCCCCGCTTTTGTTACAGCTTAATCTGGCCTATTACACTTTGTGCAGGTCAGCATGAGGATGTGTGGGGGGGGACACACAGACGTTAGATCATACCATCTGGAGCAAGAAACACACAAACATAATGAAGTGATCACGGTATCCTGTCTTCCCGTGGCTGAGATATGTTAACGGCGGGAGGAAGATGTTGATAAAAAAAATGGTGGTCTGTCGGTTATTTGGGACACAGCGCCGGCCTGTAATTTGTTCAAGCTGGCGAGTGATAATTAGGTGAATTACATGAGAACAAGAGAAAGGGATTATTTGTGTGAACCTCTTCGCTCCGCACCAGCGGTGTGAATTTCACCGGCCCGTCTCGCTCATCGGTGTCAGATCTCCGAGAGGTGTGTGTGTGGTTTGTACTGCCGTGTGTACGAGTGTGTATTCTTGTATCTGTGTGTTGGTGTCACAGCCCGTGTGTGTTTGCTTCTCGATACCCTGGAGCCAGCCGTCCTCTCCTCTGACCCTGATCCCTGTCACCTGTCTACTTGGATCTCTCTCACACACACACACACACACACAATTCCTGGAGATGAAACCCAATCGCAGTTGCCAACCATGCAAAACTTGCCAGCACAGCAAGGTTTTGTTTTCTTTTTGTGGGTGTGTGTGTGACTCGAAAGACCTACTGTCTGCTGCAAGATGAACGGAAGCAATTTTACTCCTCACGACCATATAAAGAGATTATTAAAATAACTTCTGGTCTTGGTGGCTCAAAGTAAAGTCACACAGATACAGTGAATGAACTAGGGTTACAGTATTATTTCTTGAAGCCCTATACCAATATCTTACCAAGTGATGAATATTATAAAACATTACCCATAGTGAAGCAGTAACTATAGGAAACTCAAGACGAAGCTGAGTTTGACTCGACAAAAGAGAGCCGGTGTTATGAAACTGCTTCAGTGTTTGGGTAGTGGCTCTCACTGACATGTGCTCATACCCAAATATTACAGGCTTCAGGTCTAAATGATCAAATTCTGTATTATTGATGAGCTCCACAGTTACCGGTTCTTTTATAGATCCTCTTTAACGTTTTGATGTAGTTTATGATCATGCTGCAGTCTCTCATACGTAATCAATACACCTGTTCAATAAGGAAGCCCCTCCTCCTCGTACCAGCGGTACCTGCAGGCAGCGAATCACCTCAGCAGAGGGAGGGCAGGATGAGACTGACTGTCTTTCTCCTTAACTGTTTCTAAAAATAGTCGCACTGTTTTCATTGAGACATTAGTGAGTTTATATGGGGACTTTGCTGTTGTAAACATTACTGTTGCTGCTCTACAAACAGCATTTGGTTGTATTTAAAATATGAATCAATTCTAATCCTGTTCTGAATATAAGTAATATATTAAATAACCGATAAAGAACCGAACCGATAAGGAGTATTAATAATAGTAGTCGTATCAATAACAAAACCCAACCTTAGACCTTAATGCTTTAAAGATATATTGGCACATTATATGTTATATTTTAAAGGCGTTGTCTCTCTAAGAGGCCGTGTTGATGAGTTACCCATCTTCATTTTCTTTTGAAGCATATTTTTCAGTTTTTTGGCGATGTCGTACCACTTATGTGGATGATTGAAACTCCACGACCCTAAGAGATAAATGTCTGTATTGATGGGACATTTAATCGCAGGATAGTCGAAGCTTGTGAGGGCGGATAAGTGTTTGACAAAGGAGAAACCGCTCACTTTCCAGTCCTCGTGTGCTCCGACGCTCACGTATTGACTCCTCTCTCTCCTCAGGAGACCAAGTCGTCTGGGCGCTCCAGCATGCCGCGATGTCGGAACTCCGTTGCCACGACCACATCAGATGACCAGCCGCACATTGGTAACTATCGGTTGCTAAAAACCATCGGCAAAGGCAACTTCGCCAAGGTCAAGCTGGCACGACACGTCCTCACCGGAAAAGAGGTAGGCATGCACACACACACACACACACATGGTGGATAGATTTAATCTATCCTTTGGTTCCACTTACGGAGTTGCCCTGACTTTCTGAACTTTAGACTTTTATTTTAAGCCACTTTAGTCACATTTTGGAGAAATGCCGTACCGTTGACTCTTGTTTTTCACTGGAAACTGGTTTGTTCAATAACAACCCGCAATGCCAAGAAAGCCTATTCAAGAAGACGAAATATAGGAACCATTCAAAAAACCCATTGACTTTGCGACTAGGGAACCAGTGTCTATTTCTAATTAGCCAAGATGGTAAAATAAGTAGAAATCCGTGAATATTTTGACTAAACGTTAATCTTCCTTCCTGCTTCCTGAGGATAGAGGCGGGCTCATGCTGTGACAGACAGTAGGTCTGAGCCTGGACTCGCATGGCTTTGGAGACGGTACATCTGCTGCAGGAGATTATATCGCCATTGTCAGCTTAGAACAGAGAAGCCTAAATGTCTCCGGCTCATTGTGAATTCCAGATGTGATGTAATGCCGCGGCCTGTCCCTTTAAGGGAAAAGCTGTGTCTGCAGTGAGCCCATGCTGGGGTCTGTCTGAGGCCCAGTCAAGTACACTCTGGGTCTGTGTGAGAGAGCTAGAGAGGGGTGGGCGGGCTCTGTCAATGTGTGACAGCTCTGTGCCTGACACCCTGATAACACTCCATGTGACTTGCTGGCATACACACACACACACACACGCACACACACACACACACACAAAGAAAACAAGGGAGAGTCAGAGAGCATGAAAGAGTCGGACAGACGAGCACAACTAGAAAGAGGAGTGGAAGAAAGGAGTTAGTTGACAGTAAAAGACGTATATGGGAGAAAAAAAGTAGACCTCCCTTCTCTGTGTCCATGTTCAGACATTGCTCTTCGTTTCCCTCGCCTTTCTCTTTGTGTCCTCTTTGCTCTTTTTCCGTTTCATCCCCTTTTTTTCTACATCTCTCACTTTGAATCCCTCCCATCCGTCTTTTTCTATTTTAGTTTTTTTTTTTTCCCTCGTTATTTCTCTCTCTCCTTATCTCTCTGCCTCCCTTGTCGGTGCCCACTGTTGGATTATGAACTATAGACCTCATTATGGCATGGGTACAAACCATGCTTCAGCCCTGTCTATATATTGCCTTATTATGCAACTGTGGCCCGCTGTGATTGTGTGTTTATCTCTTAATTTTGTGAGATTGTATCATTTTTGTGTATGTGTGCTGTGGTCACCGGCTGTGACTGTGCAGCTTTGTGTGAGCAAGATGCGTCAAACTGTGATTAATGAATAAAAAGTGTAACAATACATGTTGTTTTGCTTCTAGGTGGCTGTAAAGATCATTGATAAGACACAGCTCAACTCCTCCAGTTTGCAGAAGGTGGGTCTCTTTGTTTCTCTCCACACACACACACACACACACACACACACACAC